CAATCCAGGGGACACTCCTTTTGCTCTCCTGCCCCTCCTTGGAGTCCCCTCCCTTGACTGGGGAGCTTGTCCTCAGAACCGGAGCCTGAGCTCCTCTCCCTTATTCCCCACCTCCTGTGAGCTCAGCCACCCTGAGATCTGCCTGCCCCGCCCCCACTGTCCTCCCAGGCCCCTTGGGGACATCCCCCAAGCATCTCAAACCCTTTGTCTCACACTCCAGGTCCTCAACCACCCCCTCCCCCACAAACCTGTGCCTTTGTCTGTGCAGGACTCACCATTGTCACCATTGCCCAGACCACAGAGACCTGGGTGTCATCCACCCACAGTGGGACCAAGTCTGTGCTTCCCCTGTCCTGCCCCCTCTCCCTGGGCCATTGCCTTGGCCCCTGCTCTTCTACTTCTTGCCTGGTGTTGGAATCTGCCTCCTTGTCCTCAGTGTCAGTCTGCAGGGCCCACTGCCCTCAGCATCCAGTCCCAGCCCTGCCATCTGGCCCTGCCCGCCTTCCTGTCTCAAGCACAGGCACGCAGAGGGACTTCAGCTGCAGCTCTTGGCGCAGGCTAGGAGGCCGGAAGTGGGTCCACCTTTCCAGGGCCCCTGATAGGAGCAGCGCCAGGCACTGGGGGCAATGAGGAAGAGCAGAGGCTGGGGAGCAGACTGGCTCTGCAAACAGGCTCTGCAAACAGCACAGGAGGTCTGAGTGCTGGACCTGTCCTTGGGTACTGTGTGACTTTGGCTTGGTTACTCACCATCTCTGGGTTTAATGGTGTCTCAGAAGGATTTTTTTTTTTTTTTTTTGAGACAGAGTCTTGCTTTGTTGCTCAGGCTAGAGTGAGTGCTGTGGCCTCAGACTAGCTCACAGCAACCTCAATCTCCTGGGCTCAAGCAATCCTCCTTCCTCAGCCTCCGGAGTAGCTGGGACTACAGGCACCCGCCACCATGCCCAGATAATTTTTTGTATATATATTTTTGTTGGTTATTTAATTTCTTTCTATTTTTAGTAGAGACGGGGTCTGGCTCCTGCTCAGGCTGGTTTATAACTCCTGACCTTAAGCGATCAGCCCCCCTTGGCCTCCCAGAGTGCTAGGATTACAGGTGTGAGCCACCTTCTGGTTGCTCAGAAGGATTAAACATCATGACCTGGAGGAGAAATTAGGACCCAGGGCCCACAATGGGCAGGGGCTGCCTCTTTTTGGGGGATGCCCCAGGGCCCTGCTTTTAAATCACCTGGGGTGGGGTGTCAGGGCCTGAGATGGGGGAGACAGCTTGGAGGCTTTGAGGGGGGCAGGAGAGGAGGGAGGGGGAGAGGGAGGGTGACAAGAGAGCCCAGCTGCTGTTTGCACACAGACCCCAAGTTGACAGGCGTGGAGGGGCAGGGCAGGCGGGGACGTGGCTTGGCAGGAGCCTCTGCCAGCTGAGGAGTCTGCCCAGAGGGGCGCCCCTCCAGCAGCCGCCCCTACTCTGGGCTCTCAATACCCAGGCCCAGTGCATAAATCTGCTCCCAGGGCAGGGGCAGGGCAGGGGGCCCAAGGCCCCAGACCTTTGATTCTGCCCCCAGGCCCTAGGCTGAAATCCTCCTTCTCAGGCCAGAGGTGGCAGAGCAGCCCAGGAGGAGTGCACGGGCTGGGCCTGAGCCCCATGGAGCCCCCGTCCCGCAGGAGCTAGGCGCAGGCCCAACTCCATCTCTGAGCACCTGGCAGAGTGACAGCCCTCAGAGAGGCTCCCAGGAAGATGACAGCCTCCCAGGGGTGAGGCCTTAAGGAGGCCTCCGGTCCCAGCCTCCTCCACAGCAGCACGGGGCATACCCAGGGATGTGGGGGGGATGTAAGGAGGCTCCTGTCAGCCCTGGGGCCCAGGTAAGGCCAGGAGGCCCCAGGCAGGTGGCTGGACAGGATGCAGGTGAGCAAGGCAAGGACGACAGCCGCCGTCAGGAGTGGGAACTCCCCGCCGGGTGCTCACCCCACCTGGACAGTCACGGCCGGGCTTCCCCTCCTGTGGCCCCAGGCCCTGCTCTTTGTGTCCGTGTCAGCGCCCCGACCCGCAGGGTCTGACTGGCCTCCTGACATCCCCTTGCCACCCCTCCCCCCCGGGTAAGGATGTGCCCACGGCCACAGCCCCCTCCTGCCATGTGGGCCGTGGGCGCAGCTGACAGGCTGTGCGTGTGCAGAGCGCGAGCCGGGACTGGGACTGGCGTGCGCCAGCCTCGCGACGGCTCCCAGGGCCCTGAGAGGCGGCGCCGGGAGGAGATGGCCACCACGTACCCTCCCGACCACGGCTGCCTCCTGTCTCCCCACTGCCCGAGCTCCAGCCAACACCTGCTCCGGAGGAGGGTCAGCCTTGCACCGGGCCCAAGGACAGAGGCGGACCGTGGCAACCTGCTCAGTTTGGAGGCCACAGGCCTCTGTCGGGGCAGGTTCCTAGGCATCCAGGGGCTGAGCCTCGTGGGGACCAGCAGGGAAGGAAACCTGCTGTGTGGACCAGGAGCCCCACCCGGGCAGGGCACGGTGGGGGGAGCAGGACTGCCCCTTTGGGTGCCTTCTTAGCAGTTCACCCGACTGTCTCAGGCCAGAGTGCGGCTGGGAGATTGGCAGCGAGTCCAGGGGGGCGGCAGAGCTGGGCGAAGGCTGGGGGGCAGCGCGGTGGGTCCGGGCAGAGCTGGGAGGAGGCCTGGGGCCTTGAGCACCAAGGCAAATGCGCCCTCCTGGAGTCAGTGGGAGCCACGGACGGTGCTGTGCAGGGAGCAACGTGATGGACAGGCAGGACGCAGACCGTGGCCTCAGTGCACTGAGAGGGTCCGGGGGAGCAAGGGACCTTGTGGGTGAGGGAGGGTAATGTCAGGGTACTAGGGGGTTACAGGGTTCCAGCCCTGACCTTGGGCTTCCCTGGGCAGCTCCCTCAGCTGTGACCTGGGGCGGTGTGATGCCTGTCTCCGGGCTTGCTGGGAGGGCAGGTGACACAGTGCGCGTGGAAGCCGTCCTGAAAGGGGCCTGTTGTCACCAGTGGGAGGAACAGCGGCTTGGATGGGGTGGGGCGGTCGGAGGTTGGCCCCCTGGCTCGCTCCCCTCCTGGGGGCTGCGGAGCGGTGGTACCTACACCGAGGGTGTCGTGGGTCCCTGGCTGGGGCCAGAAGCAGGATGTGTCCTTGAGCCCACGCGTGGGAGCCGACGGGAGGGGCTTGGCCAGAGCGTGCCCGTCAGTGGCAGGAGCCAGGGGGTTGGCGCAACGGCCAGCAGAAGCCAACCCCCCTGTGGGCCTCCGGGAGCCCGGAGAAAGGCCTGCGTGCCCCCAGGGAAAGGCAGGTGGGGCCGGGAGTCAGCACCCCCAGGTGGTGAGCGGGACCTACGTGAAAGGATGCTGGAGTGGATAAACCTCAAGTCACACGTCTCCCAGCCCCGAGCCCTTGTGGACGTGTCCCCGTGTGACCGAGCCCGGGTAAGTGTGTGCCCAGGACGTTTTCCCTGGGCTTGATTTCACGAGTGGGCACAGGGCCCAGCCTCAGTGGGGGCTGCAGGGACAGCGGGCCCTCAGGATGGAGCATTCCCACACAAGACCTCGAAGCCAGTGCCAGGGAGGCCGGCCCAGTGCCACCCCGAGAGGGGACCAAGCTGGCCGGCGACCAAAAAGGCCCTGTCCGGCACACCCTGTGCGGACACAAAGCAGGCATTGATGGCACAAGGGGTGCCCGGAGGCCACTGCGGCTGGTGCAGCATGGACCTCGCTGGGCTTTGGACGGGGGAGTCAGGATGACCCTGCAGCCCCAGGTCGCCGTCAGGCAGGCCCAGAACCAGAGGTGTGCGCGTCCGAGATCAGCCGAGGTGCCCTGAGCATCCTTATCCTGAGGTGCTTCTGCGCAGCACCTGGGTGCCTGATGGGCCCGTGGGCCCTCCCTCCCAGGGCGTTGGCAGCAGGCAGAGGACCCCCATCCTCCTCGGCCTCACAGTCTGCCATCTCCACCCTGCTCAGCCCTCAGTGACTCTTCCCCCACCAGGCAGGACTGGGGCACCTGTGCCCGGCACACCTGAGGCTCTGGCCCTGCTTCTCGCCACTGCCCCCCATGACCCCTCTCTTCCCCTGTGTGCTCCCACCTGCCTCTCTGATTCTCTGCTCTCTGTGCCCTGAGCCCATTGGGCCCCCTCCTTCCTCACCCAGCTTTCCTTCCTGTCCAAGGCCTTAGCTACCCCTTTAGCCTCAGCTCAGTCTTGCCTCCTCCATGCAGCCCTCAGGGATTGCTCCAAGCCAACTTGGGCCCCACTTAGAGTCCCCCTGCATTTTCCCCCTGCAGTCCTCCAGTGTAGGGTGTAGTCATCATCTGAATTATCATGCCAGATTGTGACTCCCACCTGCACAGCTCCTTAGGGGATGGAACTCAGCTTAATACTTTCCCCACTTTGTCCTGGGAGGCACGGACTAAACATCAGCGTGGCTGGTGGACAATGTTTCCCTCCCAGTCTCCCTATGATTTCCAGGTGGGCTGTCCACGAACACAGCTCAGGTAAAAGACAGCCTGCAACTTCCCAAGCCTAGCTCAACTCCACTCACACCCCACAGGGGCAAGGCCAAGGGGGACAGAGGTGTAGAGGGACACCCACACTCACAGAGACATGCACCCGCGCACACACGTGGAGAAACATGCACACAGACACGTGCACACTCAGACAAGCACACATGCAGACGTGCATACGTGAACACACCTGCGCACACTGAGACACGGTCATGCACACGCTGAGAAATACATAGATGTGCACGCACAGACTCACACAGATGCATGCACACCAGAGGCACACATTGACCCACTCACAGACAGGCGCACACTCACAGACACAGGAGCACACATGCACACAGCGGCGCCCACGGGAGCACACCCAGCCAGCCCTTGGTGCAGGAGGACCCGCTGAGGGGGCCCCAGGCGCCACCGCCTCCTGCGAGGAGCCCCCAGGCCAGCAGAGGGCGCGCGAGGCCCCTTCCCTCGTGGCCGGCCCCAGGCGGGGAGGGAGAGCACGTGGTCGCCTCCTGCCCTTGCAAGCCAGGTCCCTTTTGTTCCCCCAGCCTGGGAGGAGGCGACTGCGCCTGGGGACTGCCTGTCACAGAGTCCTGCAGACCCTGCTCAGCTCAGGTCGCGCCCATCCCGGCCGGGCGACGAGCCTGCGGGCCGCGGGGATGAGCGGCCCAGCCCGGGCAGGGGGCGGCAGCCAGTGCGAGGATGGAGAGGCCGCCGTCCCCCGTGCAGCCCCCAGATCCGGCAAGCCCCACCCTCCCAGGCCTGCAGCCCAAGTTGGGCCTCAAGTGCTTGCCCTCTCCCCTCCCCACGTCCCTCCAAGAGCTTGTTAATGTGTGTTGTCCCCTGGGAGGGCCCTCCCCAGTGCTGAAATGGGAGGGGAGAACAGGAAAGGCAAGCCCCTCACTCCTCCCTTCTTGCCAGGGCCCAGGTCTCTGGCCCCAGCTGGCTGCTGTGAGGTCTTTGATTTCTTAAGGACAGAAGCCCTGGTCTCCCCCCAGCACCCCAGCCTGGAGTGGTGGAGGTTATGGGTGGGAGTCATTCAAGACCCCCCTCTGCTACTTACAGGTTAATAGTCTTGGGTGATTTAATCTTCCAAGCCTGAGTTTTCTCATCTGCAAAATGGGCGTCCTAAATGTCCCTACCTTACAGGTGGATTGGAGGGCAAACAAGGCAGTGCTCGCAGAGCCCTGGTTTGGGACTGGCCCAGGGCGAGTGGCAGTTGGCTGCCATCCCTGTTGTGGTTGCTGTGTGGTGAGGCCTTTGGTGGCTGAGCCTTGAGGACAGCGTTTTGACTCTAGCAGAGACCCAGGTAAGATGTGCTCAGTCCACTGTGGTACAGGAATGGGATGGGGGTGTCAGCCCAGTAATGCCACACCTGTGCCATCAGCAAGCAGCGAGCAGCAGGCAGAACCTGGCATGTCACCAGACCTTGCTTTCCAAGTGGTTTGTTTCCTGGGACTTCAGTTTCTATTCCTGGTCGGGCCAAGCTCTGGACTGGCTACAGGCCTTGGCTGAGCAAGGTTCCTCGTCTTCTTCCATCAGGGAAGGACAGGCTGGCCCTCCCTGTCCACCAGCACCCCCATCCCCTTCCCAGTTGCCCCCCAATAATTAGGCCGTTTGCAGCTTAGGAGAGGGTGTCTGTCCTTCCTCTCCTCCCCCAGCCTCGGTCAGACCAAGAGTCTGACCTCCCTCAGACTCTCGTCTGGTCTCCCCTCCCTCAGGGGCATGTGTGGTCCCCCAGGGCAGACGGGGAGCTGGCCAAGCCTGGGGTGGGGTGGGCCCCTTGCTCGGAGGGCAGCTGTGCGTGGGGCTCGGGGGGGCCTGGGCAGGCTGCTCTGGTCATTAGCGGCCGGCCTCACTCCAAGTGGATTAGCTGGTCCTCAGGGGACGCGCGCTGAGGCCTGCAGGCTCCTGGCACTGGCCAGTGATTCATTCATTCCCCACAACTTCACCACTGCCAGAGGCCAGTGCTGTCCCTGCCCCCAGCCCAACGACCGGCCTGGCTGGCGCCGGGGAGCGGGAGGCCAGCGCCGGGAAGCACTGGCTGCCCGTGCACCTGCCCGGCAGCCTGTTCACCGGGCCCTGCCTGCCCCTTGGCCGTGCCTGCGTCCACCCACCAATCCCTCCCATGTGCAGGCCTGGTGGCCCTGCCAGGCTCCGTCTCCTGCTCCCTTTGTCCCCTGGCACCTTGAGCAACCCCAGGGAGGCCCTTCACCCACTGCCCCTCCCTGTGTCTTCCAGCCCTGGCGTCCACTGACTGGTCTTGATGACAGGCAGAGGCTGCTGGTGCAGAGCAGGCTCCGGGTCGTGCCTGGGCCCTGCCAGCCTCCCGCACTGGCATGGCTGCAGGGGGCAGCCCCTTGGTCCCACCACAAAGGCCCTTAGGGACCCATCACACTCCCTTCAGGGACCCCCAGCCCATTGTCATTTACTTAACAGGTGGCGGGTGCTCAGAAAGCATGTGTCGATGAATGAATGAACGAGTGAGTGCCCTTTCCCTCGAGGCAAATGTGACTTCTCTTTATCATCTCATGTGACTCACGTCCTGGCCTGCTGCAGCTACAGAAAGGACAGTGCCCACGTGTCGAGGCCAGAAGAGCTGAACTCCACAGCAGCCCCGTCTGTGCGCTGTAGGGTCTTGCCTCTGGCCCACGGCATCGTCATGGGCACGTGGGGCTAGTCTCCCCGCCCCAGGCTGGCTTTGAGGATTCCAGGCATTTATCTCTTGCAGGGAACCAGGGCAGGGAGATACCACCCAAATGGCAGCTGCCCCCACAGCAGGACTCAGTTCAAAGTGCTCTTTCTGGGGGGCCTCCTTAGCACATATGTGTGCAATTTTCCCTGTGTCGTTGCATAATCCTTCATGTGCTGCTCTGCAGTTGGTCTCAAATGGCCTCCTCATAATAAATAGCATCTACAAAGCAGTTTACAGTTTGCAAAGTGCTTTTTTCCCCATCCCATTTGTACCTTTCTTACAAAAAGAAATAGGCTCAGAGAAGTTAAGCAATTTCTCTAAGACCACACAGCACAGAGGAGGCAGAGCTCACCCATCCGCAGCCTGTGGGGCCAGCGGGTCCCCAGTCCACTGTGTCCCGGGCTCCAAACGGAAGAGTGAGGGGCAGGGAGGCCCCCGGGATCTGATGCTGGTGGCAGAGGCGGGCATCTCACTCTGCAGCGCTGGGCTGCGCTGTCCTGCGTGTGGGTGCAGGATTGTGGGCTCTCCCGGTGCACTGGTATTCAGGGGGAGACCAGGCAAGCCCTGAGAGGGCTTATGGCAGGATCACACCTGCCAGGGTGGGATGGGGACTAGGTTAGCTCCACAAGCCCTTCCTATGGCTGGGCTTAGGTGACTCAGAAACTTCTAGAAAGGGACTGGGCAAATGAAATGCCTCCAGTGGAACGGAGCTTCCATCGTCACCCAGGTAAGTTACACCGTTAGCTGCTTGATTGATTTGCTTTTTTTTTTTTTGAGACAGAGTCTCGCTTTGTTGCCCAGGCTAGAGTGAGTGCCATGGCATCAGCCTAGCTCACAGCAACCTCAAACTCCTGGGCTCAAGCGATCCTGCTGCCTCAGCCTCCCGAGTAGCTGGGACTGCAGGCATGCACCACCATGCCCGGCTGATTTTTTCTATATATATTAGTTGGCCAATTAATTTTTCTATTTATAGTAGAGACGGGGTCTCGCTCTTGCTCAGGTTGGTTTCGAACTCCTGAACTCAAACGATCCGCCCGGCTCGGCCTCCCAGAGAGCTAGGATTACAGGCGTGAGCCACTGCGCCCGGCCTGATTTGCTTATTTTGTTGTTCTGGTCAGAAAACAGAGGTACCAGGGAGGTGCATGGACTCGGCCCAGAGGGAGGTGAGACAGCAAAGCGAGGTGCCAGGGGAGGCAGCGGGGGCCCTGCCAGAGGGAAGGGGTGGCGGGGAGGCTGGGAAGCTGGTGGTCCTGGACCTCCGGACCTCAGGGAAGGGGGCGTGGAGGGGTGGCCAGCCGGGGCGGCCCCGCATCCACCTCTGGTGGTCCACGCTGGAGCCCCAAAGCCGCATGGCTCTGCCTGGAGCAGCACCCCTCACCGTGGGGAGGTCTCTGCCCAGAGGACACCTCCTCTGGGAAGCCCTCTGGAATTGCTCAGGCAGAGCTCGGTCTGCCCCTTCCTCCAGTGCCTGCTGCCGTGACCTCGTACACTCAGGACAGCCCTTCCCGTGTCGCCAGGCCTGCCTCCCCTGCTGGGCAGGGCGCGGGCAGGGGGTCTGTGTGTGCGCTCACGCTTGGAAAATTGTTGAAAGCGCAGAAGAGGACAAAGGAGAATAAAGGCAACATCCACAGACCTGCAGAGCCCGCCTGGTGCCCCGGGCCCAGGTGGGGAAAGGGCAGTTGAATAAACGGCGACATCACGGCACGTGCACGTACGCACGTCTGGGCACAGTTGGAACATGACATGCGTGTTCGTGGTAGTACTGACACCCAGAGACCCAGTGTGGGGGACTAGACCGGGGTCTGCCTAGAGAAGAGAGGACATGATGGGCCAAGGCTGGGCAGCACCAGGCCTGTCCCCAGCAGCCACTCATGCGCCGCGCTTCCGTCTGGGTAGCAAGGCAGCCTCCCTCAGCTACCGGGAGCCCGCAAGAGACGAGCCAGGGGCCCCCAACACTGCTTCCCAGGGGTTCAGGGTTGGCTCGGTCCCCGCCCTTCCTGCTGGGGTCCCCGCCCTCTGCCAGACCAGTCCCCTGACCTCCAGCGGCCTAGGCAGCACCGGGCCTGGCTGCCTGTGGACAGATGAGGACGTGCTTCTGTGCAGGGGACAAGGAGGCTGCCGCCCGGGTGCACACGCAGGCACACACACGTTGTCCCTGGACTGTGGGCCCAGGAAAGTCTGTTTCTGGTGGGAGTTTGGGGTGAGAGCTCAGAGCTCAGGAGGCCAGCGTGTCCTGCAACCTGGGGCCAGCGAGGCCCTGGCCAGAGACCTCGGGACAGCTGAGGGCCCAGGGAGGGAGACCCGAGGACAGGGCGTGGCGCCTTCAGGGCAGAGCTGGGTGACCTCAGAGTTAAGACCCCAAGCGCACTGCCACATTTCTTGAAAAGCAACAAGCATGGGCCTTGACTACCAAGAAGGGACATTACCAGCAGTTATGAATTGCGGGGTGCTTTGTCACAGAGATGTGACACGTCTCCTGGGGAGGCGCGGCTGCTCCCATTCTGTTCTCAGAGCAGCTCAGCTCTGGGCCCGCCGGGGCTTTGGGCGTTCAGCTCACAGGAAGGCTCCCAGGCTCCGAGGGCAGCCGGCACTGGGGGGTGGGCTCTGCCCTCTGTTTCTCGGGGGATCTGGGAGGCCCTCAGGGTCCCAGGCTGTCCCCAGGGAGGCCCTTCTGGTGGCCGGGCTAGGTGGCGAGCTCTTGCCAGTCCCTTGGGGTTCTGTGTGGGACCAGCCCAGGCCTAGCCATGGAATGTCCAGATCGATGTCCCAGAAAAGGGCCAGGGAGGGGCTGGGTGCCGCCGCGTTCCCAGCTCCTGTGGCTTGTTCCTGGGGGCGTGGGGCCACACTTGCACAAGGCACAGCAGCATGCAGCACTCCCAGGGACATTGCTGTGTGTCACGGGGGTGGGAGGGGCAAATCTCAACTATTTGGTGCAGGTGCCATCCCTGGAGCGGGGGCCATGCAGAGAGGTGGCAGGTTTTTCACTCATCCTCAGACCTTGGAGTGAATGTTACAGTGTTTGGAACGTACCCTCAATGGGCCAGGGAATGGCACTGAGGAAATGGGAAGTGGGATGGAGGTGACATGGGAGAAGGGGCGGGTCACCAAGCTGTGTCTGGGCGGCAGGGAAGGGCTCTGGGAGTGGGGCAGAGACTCACGCAGCCAGGATGGGGCAAAGTGAGGCCTCTGTCAGTCTCCATTTTCTCTTCTGTAAAATGGGCGCACCTGCCTTGACTGGTGTGAGGCTTAAATGACATACCCTGTGAGTTAAGTGTTCTGGGCATAGGGCTCTAATGTTTTTTTTTTTTTTTTTTTTACCATTTCTAAAAGTTACCACTTTAATTACTTCAGACCTCAGTTCTGACATTTAGAGAAATACCTAAAGGACATCAGGGGGGAAAATCCCTGAAGAAGTTAGGTAAGGAAACAGGGTAGGAAGCAGGGGGCGGCGGGAGCAGCGCTGGTCCACAGCCTTGGGGCGACCGAGGAGCTGGGAGTGCAGGGGACAGGGGGGCATCTGCTGGGGAATAAGGGCTTCGGGTTGTGACAGTAAAACTCCTTTCCATCAGCAGAGGAAACCTCCAGGTCCTTCCGGGACGTGGGAGGGGTGGGGTGGCCAGAGGCCCACCGTGTTGGTGGTGTGGTTGCTTATGGCCTGTGAGTCTTCCCCTTGAAAGCTGAGGGCTGCATCTGCAACTGCAGATGGCATGAGTTCAAATCCCAGCTCTGCCACTTACTAACTGGATGACTAGGGTAATGCCTACCCACCCTTTGCCTCAGTTTCCCTCTCTGCACGGTGGGGATAACAGCAAGCCTCATAGAATTGGGCTGAGTTGGCCACGCGCGGTGGCTCATGCCTGTAATCCTAGCACTCTGGGAGGCCGAGGCGGGCAGATCGCCTAAGGTAAGAAGTTCGAAACCAGCCTGAGGGAGACCCCGTCTCTACTAAAAATAGAAAGAAATTAATTGACCAACTAAATATATATATACAAAAACTTAGCCGGGCATGGTAGCGCATGCCTGTAGGCCCAGCTACTCGGGAGGCTGAGGCAGGAGGATCGCTGGAGCCCAGGAGATTGAGGTTGCTGTGAGCTAGGCTGATGCCACGGCACTCACTCTAGCCTGGGCAACAGAGTGAGACTGTCTCAAAAAAAAAAAAAAAAAAGAATTGAGCCGAGTTAGCGTGTGCCTAGGACTCAGAGTGATGTCTAGCACCGAGCCTACAGGACCTGCCATTGTCCTGGTGGCCTTTCTACCCCCTACATTTAAAGGTGCTCGTGCAGTGGCCGTGGCCGTCTGCGGAGCCGCGGGGGGCAGGTCTGCAGGGTCTAGCCCCGTAACGTGCACTGGGGAGGAAAGGCACCACTGGAGTGTCTGCCAGAGCTGGTCATCTCTCACCCGGCTCTGCCCCTCACCCGCACCCTGGCCGCAGGGGCTCGCCCAGCCCTGCCTGTGCCGGGAAGTGCTCCGGCCACTCTGGTGTGCCTTGGTCTCCCAGTTTTCAGAGCTGATGTCAGCCACAGCTCCTGTCACTGAGGGGGAGGCAGGAGGGCAGCTTGGAGACGGGACCAACAGGGCCACCGGGGCTGTATTCCTGACCATGGCCCGCTCTGGCCCAGCGTCCCCACGTGTAGAAGGAGGCCCCACGGCAGGGCGCGTGGCGTGGCTGTTTGAGCTGTGCTTGTCTTCTCTCCGCTCTTACAGCGCTGGCGCGATGTCAGTCTCAGCACTCTGGGAAGGGGACTTAGCAACACTTGGCCAGTGCCCTTAGATTCAGAGCAGGTGCGTGATCCTTTCCTGATGACGGACAGCTGTCTGAACAAGGCCCGGGCCCTGCTGAGTGGGGCACAGGCAGACCTGCCCCCGCCGCACCCCGCCGTGACTGCCCATGCTCAGAAATCCCCCGGCTCAGCCCCAGACGATGGGACTCAGGACTCGGGTGGCGACGGAAAGGGACCTGCTTAGGACGAGCGTCAACCTTGCCTGGGAGTGAGTCCCCCACGTGAGCTCCGCCCAGGTGGAAGCACAGTGAGGGGGGACGGAGGGGAGAAACACAGGGATCCCCTTCCATTGCCAGCGACGGTTTGCCAGGAAGCCGGAAGCTTTAAAAGCCGAGGTTCTCGGCGAAGATTGTTTCCAGACGCCCATCTGTCCCTGCTTTGAGTGCGGTTTCAGTTCATGTAGGCTCACTGACAAACGTTAACGTCTCATTCCTCT